GTTTGTGGTGAATTTTATTTTGTTAAACTATCACTCTGAGTTACTGTTGTTTACAAACTAAAGAAATGTTTTTGTTTAGTTTTTACTGAATATTTAAAGGCAAACTGTTAGGTTGACATTTAGAACTATATCACTTATCTTGCTGCAATTCTATGTTCTTAAATTAAGAATTTTTTTTGTTTGTTGACTAATTTGTCACATCATCAAGAATATCGTTATTGTGAAAATACCCTGAAGCATCGTGATATTATTTTAGAGCCATATCGCCCACCTCTGTTTCAAAGATAGACAAAAAATGTTGCTAATAATTTAGCCTTCTACTAACCAGAGCTAAAGCCTCACACCTGCAGCTTCATGTTCATGTTTACGTGGCTAACATTAGTTAGAGCCTCAAATCACCGTGTGTCCTCTATAGCACTCCCCACTGCTACAGACCACCTCGCTGGGAGGAGAGTGGCTTCGGAGACAGACCCCAGGTCAACATTCACAGCAACCTGAATCCAGCTCCAATCCAACCCCAGCTCCGGGACACTGAACTGGACAGCCCTGATTCCCTACTGGGTCAGTAAACTTTCTGTTGCTGCTGTTACACAGATTAGACCTGGTGCTGCCACTGGCCACCAGTACGCTGTGACATCCGGCACTGGAACTGTTGCCTTCTCTCATCCTGGGTACAACTGGTGAATGGACTGCACTTGTATAGTGCTTTTCTAGTCTTTCGTCCACTCAAAGCGCTTTGACACCACAGGTCACATTCACACACATAGTCACACACTGTTGGCCGAGGCTACCATACAAGGTGTCACCTGCTCCTCAGTAACCATTCACATGCACTCACACACCGATGGAACAGCCACCAGGATCAATTTGGGGTTCAGTATCTTGCTCAAGGATACTTCCACATGTGGAAGCAGCTGGGGATCAAACCACCAGTCTTCCAATTGATGGACAATGTGCTCTACCTCTGAGCCACAGCCGCCCAGGTAAGCAGCCCACAGCAGTGTGAAGCAAGGTGGAGGGACCATGGGGTGGCAAGCTAGCTAATTCTTGTCTCATTTGTGGTTGGTCTGATAAACAGGGAAAGCACAGCACAAAGAGGGGCTGAGAGAATGTGATGCAGGCAACTCTACAATGAAGTCAGATTAAATAAATCAATCCATTGGAAACACTGGGTTACTGTATGAAGCATGCATATGCCTGTGGTTGTCTGAAGGGAGGGGCTTAGGACAGACAGCAGAGAGCTGCAGGAGGAGGGTGTATTTCCATATTCCCTTTTTTTTTTTTTGGCCTTTCTAGATTTCTGCCTACCCCAGCTGTAAGGTTCCAGATGAAGTTAATCACCTCAAACGCTTAATCACTTAATAGATTGAAAAAAATGCAGTCCAAATGTTGTATTTGCATTTCTAGTGAGAATGGAGTCAGCCAATGAGTCCAAAAACGATACAAAAACCTGCCTCTTGTCATTGGAAAGCTGGCACTTTCCATGTTCACACCTTGAACTGAGCAAACAGCCTTTCATATCTATAAAAGTCAGTGAAATCAATTAAACGGTTGTCACTGCATAATTTGATTTTATTTGTCACATTATTGGTCTGCAGATGTTTCATGTTGACATTTTTCCATCCTTTTTTCATGTTACATGCTGACAGATGAACCAAAGACACCAATGGAAACATCCAACTTAAAACATCTTTAAAGGCAGCAGTTGCCAGAGTAGCTATGTTGCATTTAATGGGCCAATTCTGTTTTGATGTTCTTTTGTTGGTGTTTTTTTTTATTCATTCTTTTACTCCTACAGATAACAAGCCAAACTGTAGATAATGTGGTGTCACATATTTTCAGTACAGCTACGATGGTATTTGCCAGCAGAACTTTTTTTTTTTCTCCAGCTGTCTAAGGCATCAGCGGTAAATGTCAGCCTTTGGTGTCAGCCCCTCAGAATCAAAGAGAAAAAAAAAATCTTTTTAGACGAACTATTTTGCACTGATGTTCAACAATCATGCAGAGAGAAATCCATCGCAGAAGAGGCAGAAGAAGAGAGACCAATTTCTCAACCAACACACGCCATGACAGTCACGATCGCTATCATGATCAAAGACAGACTCCAGTGTTTACAAAGTGCTCAGTAAAACAGATATATTTATGCCAGCGTATGTCCACCTTTGATTGAAAGCAACAAGCGATCCCCCCCAGTCTCTGGAGATTTCAGAATGCATCTGGCAAACGCAGAAAATCATTAAATGAAATGGAACTAGACAAAGCAGGAGGAGTGAGATCCTGATCAGTAAATTGGAGTAAATTCTTCTTTTATGGTTTCTTTACCTCTTGAAGGCATAAACTGAGAATTAATGACGCTGAATGCAGCATTCAAACGAGCCTTAAATGGTACTGTGATGACTCACCTCTTGCTGTAGATCCTTGATGATTTTGGTTTTTTTCTCCATCTCCACTTTGAGAAATTTGATCTGAAGACAGAGAAGAGAAAAGAGAGATGATCGAACTGAATGCCCTGCATCATTGTTTGTTTGTTTTCCATTCAGTGAACATATTTAATGAAGGTGATGGATGCTGAGCGTGCCCGTTTAAGCAGTATATGTGAAATTAAGTGCGCTGAGTGAAAGCGATTATGACAATAAACACAAAGCAGCATCAGTATGTGATGTACTGCCTTGCAATGTGAAAGGACAAGGCAGGCAGTATTCTGTATGTTGTGGTATTATCAAGGAATCTCAGGTTAATTCCAAAGCTAACAATGCCTTATTCTGTCCGCATGTCTGTGGCACTCACCCCATGCTCATATGTCACTACTGTAGAATAAATCTTTGAAAACAGATGTTTAGTTTAGAGTAATAAACATTACAGAGGTATTTTCAGAAGACTAATTTTAGCCGTGGATTAATACACATTTGGTGCCCTATATCCAGTTTACAGCAGCAGGACAGTGTACTGCATTAGTCCTGTTGTGCACCTCTCCAGGACGACACATCGCAGTGACGCAGACATCCAGGCTATTTTTGTGAGCTGAAACCATTTCCCTCAGTGGAAACAAAGCTTTTATTTACTTTATTTCACAGATAAGAAACAATAAATTGTGAAGACAATAAAGCCTCCGCAAAATAGCATTTTAAGTCTTGTGTGTGATTTATCCTGGCTTCACATGAGCAGAGGAAATCTCCGCTAGTCGCTAGGCTAACTTGAATAATGTAAAATGCCATAGGCTTGTGCTAGTAACGTTAGCATGTTGTATTTGTGTGGAAAACGTGTTAAGTATAAGACAGTTGTTTTGTCAGTAATCCTTGAGTTGTAGTTTTGTGACGTTACCTTTGTCAAATGTTGCTGTTGTCCCTGGTTTCATATGAGTAGAAAGTCTGCGCTGTGCTGAGCAGTTTGTTACCACCACTCGCTCACATAGTTAACATGTCACTACAATCTGGAACATTCCCAAAGGCCTTGAAAACTGCGGTCATAAAGCCTCTCCTAAAGAAGAGCAGTCTTGATGCCACAGTACTGAACAACTACCGGCCCATTTCAAATCTGCCGTTTTTAGGCAAAGTCCTTGAGAAAGTTGTTTACCAACAGCTTACTGACTTTCTCCTAATGAACAACTCCTTTGATGTTTTCCAGTCAGGTTTTAGACCCCATCACAGCACTGAGACCGCTCTTATTAAGGTGACAAATGACATCCGCCTGAACACTGACGCAGGCAAAGTCTCAGTTTTAGTCCTGCTAGATCTGAGTGCTGCTTTTGACATTGTCGATCATGAGATCCTTTCACAGAGACTAGAGGACTGGGTGGGCATCTCTGGCACTGCCCTAAATTGGCTGAAGTCCTATCTAGAAGACAGGAAGTACTTTGCTGAAATTGGTAACTGTGTCTCAGACCACAGTTACCAATTTCAACAAAGTACTTCCTGTCTTCTAGATAGGAAGTACTTTGTTGAAATTGGTAACTGTGTCTCAGACCACATGGCCTTGACCTGTGGGGTGCCCCAAGGGTCAATCCTGGGACCCCTTCTGTTCAATCTCTACATGCTGCCTTTAGGCCAGTTAATACAAAGTAATAATGTGTCCTACCACAATTATGCAGACGACACTCAGATCTATGTCTCACTGACAGCAGGTGAATATGGACCAGTGGATTCACTCTGTCACTGCATCCAACAGGTCAGTGTGTGGATGCAAAACAACTTTCTCCAGCTAAATTCAGACAAGACTGAAGTCATCGTATTTGGTCCACAGAAACAAAGAGAAAGTGTCAGCAGTCACCTCCAGTCTCTCTCTCTAAAACCTACAAATCAGGTTAGAAATCTCGGGGTAATAATGGACTCAGACTTGAACTTTAACAGCCACATCAAATCAATAACATCAGCAGCTTTTTACCATCTAAAAAACATTGCCAAAATCAAAGGTATAGTGTCTAAACCTGACTTGGAGAGACTTATCCATGCATTTGTCTCTAGTAGGTTAGACTACTGTAACGGCTTGCTCACTGGCCTCTCCAAACGGGCCATAAGACAGCTGCAGTACATCCAGAATGCTGCTGCTCAGGTCCTGACCAGAACCAGGAAGTACGAGCACATTAGTCCTGTGCTCAGGTCTCTACACTGGCTTCCTGTGGCTCAGAGAATAGACTTTAAAGCAGCTCTACTTGTGTACAAGTCTCTCCACGGCCTAGCACCAAAGTACATCTCTGACATGTTAGTGCCATATGAACCATCTCGGACTCTGAGGACCTCAGGGACCGGCCTTGTGCTGGTGCCCAGAGTCAGGACTAAACATGGGGAATCAGGATTCCAGTTTTATGCAGCTAAAATCTGGAACAGTCTTTCTGAAGATGTGAGACAGGCCTCTACTCTGACAATGTTCAAATCTAGGCTCAAAACAGCTCTATTTCACTGTGCATATGACTGAAAGGATCTTATCTGCACTCTTTTCTTTTAAAGTTCATTTTATAATGATTATTTATGTTTTTATTTTGTATTGTATTTTGTTTGCCTTGCCTTGCTAGCCACTAGGCTAATTTATACAATGTAAAATGCCATAAGCTTGTGCTAATAACATTAGCATGTTGGGTTTGTGAGGAAAACGTGTCCAGCAAAAGACAAGTGCTTGTCTGTGAATGGTGCGAGTTATAGTGAAGCTGATTTGTGTAACTGTGTTTGAAACTGATGCTATTAAGCCATGTTTAGTCTGTGTTTAATGTGTGCTTTGAATCAACTCAACAGCACTTCACAGAAACCCTTCCGCCAACTAGTGTTGTGGAGGTGTAACTGCAGTGACACAGACACACCAGCACACAAGTATAAATGCTCACAATGGCATAGGCCACGTGTGTGGGCTATGGTGTAGGCTCTGCATTTAGCTAGGCACAAGTATAAATCTGCTTTTAGCATTAGGGTTAGCACTTCCGGTTCTGTCGTCTTAAAGTCAATGTTTTTTTGTTTTTGTTTTTTGTTTTAGGTTTTTGGTTAAATGCCTGAAATAAGGTCTGTGGTTAAAACAGATGCATTTCACGTCATCCAGCTGATTTTCGCTGGCTGTAGGGCTGCAGATTGTACTTCGGCATTTTTTTAAGCCTACCACATCAGACACAAAGAATATAGACGCAGACCAAGAGAGAGCCAGCCCCCAGAATCTGTGGAAAGGAAGTGGGCGCCATACTGGTTCCTGTACTGTAAAAACGGAGTGTTGTCTGTTTCAACTATGTTGTCTATGTCTTGCCTCAAATGTGTTTAGAAACATATTTTAGCTCTATTTTTTACTGTAATACCAGATTGTTTGTTACCAGCTGGCCGCCACATTGTTTCCTGTGGAAAGTCAGTCAAGCCTGCATCACGCCACCCACCAGAGGGAGCGTTACTGGGCCGGCCAGGTGCAGTGCATTCTGTCAGTTGTAGGTTTTCTACCTCCTGAGCAACAGCAAATGCCACAGCCCCGTTTCTCTGTTTATAGCACAAAGTTCAAAGTATTTTCATCTTTCTACTGCAGAGACAGCCAGGTTTTATGAAAGTACCATCTTTTCAGCAGTGAAATACTTCTTAAACTTCCAAGTCGACCTACAAAGAAACTTCACCCCTGCAGCACTGTGCTGCACAGAGAATTAAGCTACTTATTAATCTGCCTTGGATAAACACAACATTTGTTTGTGATATTGATTCATTGTTGGTTTTGGTCTGACGAAAGGAAAAGTAGAATATCACCAGACTTTTCATTTAAGCAATATGACTTATCTTGATATATATGTACCATGTTGTACACAAGCAAAACAGCACCACCGACCCCACCACCACCACCACTTTTTTTTTAAATTCAAAGTCACATCTTTTTCATCTTCTACCGAGGCACCCTGGGGAAGTTTAAACTAGACCACACCGGTTGACTCACATCCCCAAGCAGAACGCATGACAACATCAAAGGTCATGTTCAGTCACTGCAGTCACTGCCCTCGAGAACAGTAAAAAAAAAAAAAAATATGCACAGAAACATATAAAACAAAAAGAAAGAACCTCCTTTGCTAATTAGTAATTGAATATAAGGATAAATTAACGCAGCCTCAGTGCATTAACAAAGACATGCTTGTGATTTTGCCAGTGCGAGTGGCAAAAACAGTGTTAGCATTTGATTTATTGTCTTTCATTTCACCAGTTTAAGCAGTGCTGGTAAGTTTACGCTGAGGGACTATATTGAGGCGTCTACCATAAATGAACACGGTTCCTTATAATCTGGCAGAAGCACAGAAACCCCTTTGCTGTAGTGAAATTTTAAAACACAGTTTTTCAGCTGGCCACAGATCAAGGCTTAAAGACTTTTTAACTCTGACAAAAAACCTCTGTCACATATTATATTTCTCTGGTGTCGCACAAAGTTAGTTTAGCATAACAAGTGTCCAGAAATGTTCCATCCGAGACTCTCTGATTGTGGCACATGTGATACACTGAGGCATTTACTCCTGCAGTGAGCGACTGCTTACTTTCCACTGTGTGCCTGATTTAATAGCCCATATGCTTATCATTTCGGAGTGATATCTTTGTTTATCGCAATCCTTTTATCATGAGCTCAGCATGTCTTGCTGGTGCAGGCCTGTGGCTTGTGTTTAGCAGCCAGACAGAGGTTCAGACACCAACTGCAGATGGCAAACTGCTGCCATGGGCTACTGTGTATTAAAAAGAATGAAATCTCTGTGTGTGAGAGAGATAGCTAGGCCAAGGTTTCCTCTTTCTTTCTGTTTTTCATTCTGAAAAGACGGTTTTTAAGCATCGTGCGTCCTTGAAAGAGGTCATCAAGATAGTGTGTAGGACAAAAAGGAAAAGATTCATGGGGCTGGTGACCTCATAACCGGTTTATTCCCCAGGGAACTGTAAACTAAGCCTCACCAGTTGACTCACATCCTGAGCAGGGCATGATAACATCAAGGTTCATGTTTGAGCCTTTCAGTCACCGCCACAGCCCCGAGGGAAGGTTAAAA